AAGGGTCGTGATGGCACCGGACACCGCCGTCGGGCAAGCCAACCAAATTTCATAATTAAATTCTCGTTTTTAACAATCTTGAAAACTAAGATTTTCCTTCAATTTTTCATAAATAAAAGGATCACTACTTCAAATTAAATTAAATGATAAACAATTAGTACAAATCTTTCGGAAACCATCCTAGAACCCGGTGTCACAAGTGCATGAGCATCTACTGATAAAGAAATAAAATACATCACCCGTCCGGAATACAACAGACAGGAAATAAATATAATTCTGAAGGAGACTTTACTAGCTGCGGGTCAGCTCGAAGGAATACAGCTCACCAAGTCTCCGGGTTAACCATGCCGCTATGCCGCTAAGCCACTAGCCACCCCTAAACCTCTGCAACAAAAATGCACAGCAAGTGTAGTATGAGTACGAAAACAACGTGTACTCAGCAAGTATCCCTTCTAATCTCGAAGAAGTAGAGACGATAGGTCGACTTCAATACTTACTAGAGGTCAAGTAATAATATACTAAAAATGTGAGGAAATTAGGGATTATATATAGCAGTTCTAACTCACAAAGCCGGGAAACAGGCAAAACACCTTCGACAAATAATAAAGGATTTTCAAGGTTTACTTTTAATTATCTTATCAATTTATATCAAGCCACAAAAGGCAAATTTTCACATTTAAAATTCTAAGGCGACAATATATCATGCGCAAATCATGCCGAGGTCGACGGCCCGCTCCAACAGAAATAAAATGTGCACTTGCCGAGGGTCGACGGCACACCTATAGATGCATCTATTACCCCACCCGCGAACTAACCTGCGACGCAGGTACACATAGAGACACATGCTCGAACAGTCAATCAAGAGTTATCGGGGGACATTATCCAAACAAAACCAATTCTCTTTTAACAATTCGAGAAAGTAACGTTTAATCCCTTTTTAAATTCATTTACTGATCCAAGGTGATTTAAGCAATTCAAGCCATCAATAAGTTTACAATTAATCCAAGTATAGCATGCTTTTGGGTCCTAGACTACCCGGACAATAACATAATAGTAGCTACGCACGGACTCTCGTCACCTCGTGCGTACGTAGCCCCCACAATTAGGAGCAAATATCCAATTAATTCACCTATGGGGATAGTTCCCTCTTACAAGGTTAGAAAGGAGACTCACCTCGCTCCGAAGATCCAAACCGGCATTCCACGTCCTTCCGAAGACTCTAATTGATGCACCGCGCTCCAAAACTAGCCAACGGTTACGCAAATCCATTAATATATGCTCAATTATTCATCACAATCTAATTTATAGAAATTCCTAACCCCGATCGAAAAGTTGACCAAAATGCCCTCGGGCCCACGTGCCCGGAATCCGAAATATTTCGAAAATAAACTTTACCCATAAACTCACGAACTCAAATATATGATTTTCTCTAAATTCCATACCCAAAATCATGGTCAAAATCCAAGAATATCGAATTTCTAGGTCTTCCCTCAAGCCCCGAATTTTCCATAATTTCCTTGCCTAAATCCATGTATAAACTTTGTATTTAACTCAAAGCTAGCATAAATTACTTATCTCATGATGAGTGACGTAAATGGCACCTCAAAGTTGCTCCCCATCGGCTCTAATGGAAGAAAATGGGGTTGAAATGAACCCAACCCCGAATTTTAAAAGACCTCACTGCCTCAGCTATTTCCGCACCTGCGGTCCCTTGACCGCTTCTGCGGTTCCGCAGGTGCGGTTAAAATGCCGCATCTGCGGTCCTCCCTAGGCCGCCCCTTTTTGCTTTTGCGATATGCCTTCTGCAGATACGGTCCCGTTTCTGCGGAACTCTGACCGAATCTGCGGTCCACTCCAAGTCGCCCTCTTGCGCTTCTGCGACCACCCTTCCGTAGATACGGTCCCGCTTCTGCGGAACCTTGACCGCATCTGCGGTCTTCGAGCCTTGACAAAAATCCGCTTTTGCGGTTCCCCCTTCCCGCTTCTGCAGGGCCGCTTCTGCGGCTTACCCACCGCAGAAGCGGTTATACCAACAACCACATCCTTCAGCTGTCCAAAATTCCAACTTTTGATCCGTTAATCACCCGGAATCCACCCGAGGCCCCCAGGATCTCAACCAAATTTACCAACCAATCCCAAAACACGTTACGGACTTGCTCGAGGCCTCAATTCACATCAAACAACGTTAAAATTATGAATCAACCCCCAATCCAAGCTTGATGTTTAGAACTTCCAACTTCTACTTTCGATGCTAAAACCTATCAAATCACGTCTGATTGACCTCAAATTTTGCGCACAAGTCATATTTGACATTACGGACCTACTCCAACTTTCGGAATCGGATTCCGCCCCCGATATCAAAAGGTCCACTTCCGGTCAAACTTCTCAAAAATCTTCAAATTTCTATCATTAGCCAAATGGCTCCAAAATGACCTACGGACCTCCAAATTCACTTCCGATCGCGCTCCCAACCCGAGAATCACCATACAGAGCTATTCAAAGACTCGCAATCCCAAACAGACATCGATAACACTGAAATTCACTTCAAGCCAAACTCATGAAATTTCTTCTAAAATGCTAACTTCCACAATAGGCACCAAAACGCTCCCGAGTTATCCAAAACCCGTACCGGCATACGCCCAAGTCCAAAATCATTATACGAACCTGCTGGAACATTCAGATCCCGATTTCGAGGTCGTTTACTCAAAATTCCTATCCTAGTTAATTCTTTCAACTTTAAGCTTCCGAAATGAGAATTCTCTTTCCAAATTGACTCTGAACTTCCCGAAACTTAATTCCGGCCATGCATACGAGTCATAATGCCTGAAATGAAGCTGTTCATGGCCTCAGACTGCTGAACGACGCGCTAGGGCTCAAAACGACCGGTCGGGTCGTTACATTCTCTCCCACTTAAACATACGTTCGTCCTCGAACGTGCTGACAACTACACTGGAGTGGTCTGAAATCGCTGTTTAACTTCTCATGTACCTTCCCGTGCTACCACAACTCAGTTGAGCATATTAGCTTGATCAATTCTGAAGATATTCTCTTTTATTCAAGCAGATACGCCTTAAAGCCCAATTCCGAACTCTGGAATTCTATGCCCGACTTGTTTCCACCATAGGATTACCATATTAATCACTACACGCTGTACCCAAACATAGCTGCATAACCTTGCTGAGTCACACCTAGCATCACTTTACTCACCGGACCACAATAAACTTTTTCTGATCAACTTAGTCAAAATCCTACTATCTTAATGCTCCCATTGCACCCCATGGCATACACAGGTCTTACGCTAACCTTTACAATACCGCCACGATGAAAGAGATGTGCAGAAATTCATAATCAACTGCCGAGTCAACAAATCATTAGGTCTGTACCCCCCTTCCCCAACAAAATCCATCACCTCATTCTGAACTAAATAATGGTATAACCTCCATAACATACTTCATATAGCTGGATTGTACTGATCCTAGATCAAGGGATATCTTCTCATCCGATACAACTGCTCAAGCAATAATCCATCCTAGACATTATCAAAAATCTCATATGATGCTACCATGCGCCAATAGGCCACCAATACGAACGTGACACAAAGGAAAACGAACTCTGGAAGGAATTACCTAACTCCCGCACTAATACGGACTTTCCTTAGAAAATAGGAAGCAAGACATACAAAAATAGCATATAGAAAACTATACTCAACATCACACTGTTGCGGCGCGTAACCCGATCCAAATAACATACCCATGGCGGCGTGCCACCTGATCCACATATAGATCTCACATAAGGAGAAGCACATCGAGCTAAATTTGCTCATTACAATGAAATATCAAACTTCGGTCACAAGCACACTAAGTGCATAATACCATCCCCTAGGGGACACATAGCGCTATAAGCTACAAAGTTCAAGCACAACTGAGGTGCGATACACAATCTGAATCTCGAGAGCCATTTGCTCATATAACATAATTTCTACGCGGATCCTCATCACATAAGAAATTCACCAAGCCGTCTCACAACTCGCACGACGCAATACATCATTACACGATATAGCTAACGACCACATAGCACCCCGACTATTCTTCCATAAGGAGGGCTTTGCTGAAATTAACACAATTGGCCTGACATAGAGCTCATATCCACATTTAGATCCATCCACCGACCTCAAGTCGATCCTGATCGTATCAAACTAAGACAATAACCCTTCAAAGGTCCATACTAATTTCCCTCTTCTCATAACACACAAGAACAACCGTCATAACCGGAGTACTCATCCACAGTCCACAACTCAGTAACTGAGTGCCCTCCAGGCATATATTCTCAATTTAACGATACCATCACAAATATTCATGCTTGGTTTAAATCTTAATCAATCAAGTGACTACGTGCCACATTTATATAATCTTCCTGTGGGATACACTCCCACAACCTACCATAACAAATAACTAGGTCTTACCTCCAAATCACCGGCCGCACTAATGCTAAAAAGCGATCAAGAATCATAATCCATGATACAAGCCCTTTTTACAAAACACCGATCTCAGATGACGCTGAAGACAATACCAACTTACTTTAAACATCGAAACTCCTTTCCTGCTCATCCGAGCTTGTGACATCCTTGTCCACACCGAACTGCAACCTTGATTCTCACTTCAAATTCCATACTACTCACTGCACTCGACATGCCAATGTACAGTAAAACATAATTCTTACTCCCTCCGGGCCACAATAAGTGTCCAATTTATTTTTAGCACGCCCATTAGGAAAATACTAAATCATATATAAAATTACCTAGTATGACTAAACTACCCTTATTAAATATTGGGCACATGATTGTAGTGGCATTTACTGCTCTTCTCAAATCACTACATTATTTAGAATAAAATTTGAAACTTTTGCTAAAATTGAAAAAGCTTACGGGAGCAAAAGTTTTCAAATTTTCCCACCAAAACTATCTTATAAAATGAAGCTCAATTTCCAGGTTATTGTTAAACATGGCTAACATGGAAAAGCACCAAATTTATGCACTTCAAATTAATCTAAACATTCCTTTGGAATCTGAGGATGGGCACGTTGGTGGAGTACTACCTGATCTTAATGAAGATGCATTTCCCGACCTCAATCTTAATCCCGATGAAGAAGATGACACACAACTGAGTGGAGAATTGCAAGCATTACTAGAAGAACGAACCATAAATTCTGGTAATTACACTTTTTTAAATACTTAAGACACCTTTTATTTTATTTTTATTTTTTCATAAGCTATTTTTTTTTAATTTGTTTAAACAGAGGCAAATGAAGAACTATCACAACCAAAGACAAAAAGAAATTTAAGCAACGATGAACAAATAGCTATGTATGAGATGTTACTGCATAAAAATTTCAATGGACTTTTGAGGCATGGAGTGACAAAGAAGGTGGCAACAAAATTCTCAACTAGCACAAAAACAGTTCAACGTATCTGGAACCTATCAAATCGTGGTAAAGGTACTTCTGAAACTGCATGTAGTAAAAAGCCAAGAAATTGTGGTCGTAAGAGGGTGGAAATTAACTTAAATCAGATACGTGATGTCCCTTTACGAAAATCGAACAACTCTCGAATCTCTAGTTTATGCGATGAATGTGAGTAAGTCCACTTTGATTATGCGTTTTCAGTCAGGACAAATAAAGAGACATTCAAATGCTATAAAGCCGTATCTAAAAGATGAAAACAAAAGAACTCGATTGCGATTTTGCTTGTCGATGCTTGATAGTGGTAGCATACCACATGATCCAGTTTTTATGGACATGTTCAACACTGTGCATATCGATGAGAAGTGGTTCTATATGACCAAAAAATCGGAGAATTATTATTTGCTTCCGGATGAATTAACTCCATTACACACTTGTAAAAGCAAAAGTTTCATATGTAAGGTTATGTTTTTAGCTGCTGTTGCTCGTCCAAGATTCGATGTAGAAGGGAATGAGATCTTCTCAGGAAAAATCGGTGTGTTCCCTTTCGTAACACATGAACGCGCTAGAAGAGCCAGTGCTAATAGAGCAGCTGGCACTCTTGAGACAAAACCAATAACTTTAGTAACAAAAGATATAGTAAGGTCATATTTGATTGAAAAAGTCATTCCCGCTATCAAAGAAAAGTGACCGAGAGAAGACTTAAATCAGCCAATATTTATTCAACAGGATAATGCTAGAACACACATCCAACCTGATGATGAAGAATTTTGCCAAGTAGCGACAGAAGATGGGTTTGACATTCGTTTAACGAATCAACCACCCAATTCTCCAGATTTGAACGTGTTAGATCTGGTTTTTTTTAGAGCTATTCAGTCCTTGCAGCATAAGGAGTCACCTACAACTGTTGATGAGTTACTTACTGCAGTTACGAAGTCATTTGATGATTTTTCCACAACAAAGTCAAATCATATATTTCTAACACTGCAGTCATGCATGGTAGAAATAATGCGAGCAAAAGGTTGTAATGATTACAAAATTCCCCATCTTAGTAAAGCTATGCTAGAAAGGAAAGGCCAACTACCTACACAGCTAAAATGTGATACTTCATTGGTACAAGAAGTTCTCAGTTATTTAGATGGTTCAAATTAGTGGTGTTTTGACTTTTGAAAGTTTGATGATGTAATTTTAATTTCTTAAGTTGGCTGAAAATGTTAGTAGCTCATTTAACAAAAAGAAAGCTGTTTGGTTGATATTTCTTGTCAATTCAATCGTGCAACACTACAGTCATGCATGGTCGACCGCATGAGTTTGTACTCATTAAGTTATAAGAGACATAGCTGCTACTATAAGACAAAGAAAATAATGACGCCCAGCAACAAAATATAATTATGCTAATAAAATGTAGGAAGATATATTTTCAACATAGTCCTAACTACTTATTGTAGATCTTCATCTTCAAACGCTGATTCGCTTTCATCAGGAAATTTGTTTAAATTAAAAGAAAAATCTTTAACCTTTCTGGAGTTGCTAGCCTTCAGAATTTCCAGCTTGCTTATTGATTCATCAATCTTCTTAATTTCATTGTTCATTGAGTCATCAACTTTGATTTCCTTCAAGTCTTGAATTGTTTCAAGTTGTTCCTCAACTTTGATATCCATGGAGATTGAGTGACTTCTCAATTACTGAAGTTGTTCTCGAGTCTTTGAAAGACTTTTCAGATGCTGCTTATTTAATTTTAGTAAGTTAATGTGATGAGAGAGAAATTTTTTTAGGGATATGCACATAAGGGTAAAAGAGTAAAAACAAATTGAATTTTTTCTTGATTACCTAACTAGACACTTATTTTGGACCAAAATCAAAAAGTAAATTGGACAATTATTGTGGACCGGAGGGAGTATCATAACTCCGGAACCACTAATCGGTCAACACTTGATCGTACAAAAGCTTTTCACTGAACTCACTTCAGGAGAAACGTAGAACCATACAGGCAAATTTTTATAACCGTAGAATATGCACACATCTAAGTAGTGGCCTAAGGCACCATAGCCCTTCCGGAATCCACTTCCACATAACAAGCCATAACAGAAGAATGCTTCTGAATAATATCAATCACGGCGGCTGACAAGCCTCATACGCACCGTCACAAATCACTTGCATAACCTGATCACACAGAAGGAACTGATCTCCACCCCCAATATGCCAACTCAATTATGGCTAACCAATCTATCTTCTTCCAATTTATCCTTGATTGCCTTAGAGATGATACTAACTCCATCCAACACATAACATACTCCATCTGCACTCATCTCGAGTGACCTTGAATCATGAGACCATGCTGTCTCAAATCCCACGAACTGTTTTCACACCTCCCAATTGCTACATCGCAAGCCAAAACATCACAGAACATCCTGTGCCTCTTCTCATAGGCTGCTAACAAGCTTGATTCTTACCCGTAATTATACGCTCGAAATCATTAGGCATCACGCCTCATCTTGTGAATTTACCATGACCGTTGCTGAGGGCCACCCGCTCTGACCTGGCTCCGAATATAATCAACTCCATGAGTCTTCCATCACATGAATACCCCCTTGGTGAAGAACCCGCCAAATCACTTCCCTTGGAACCCGCATCTATACAAAGCAAAGTCTTGAATCTTTCCCCAAGTTTGAACATGGGCCAATAAGGCCAACGATAGCCCACCTTTAATACTTCTGTTGCTCAAATTACCACTTATGGTCCTTTCCCTTAGCTGAAATAGCCCATCGATATGCTAATAGCCAAAAATCTCGCAAGTAGTTAACCATGCAACCCAATCATAAGCGGTGGGACTCTCCCACTTAGCATGAAGCCATGATTTCACAAATCTGGAATTCACCCATCCTCTTTATCTCTTATTGACATAACCTTACACAATCAACCGCAAAAGTTCTTGAAATCTTTCTGTAAAACCCCCTTCTTATATTCTGACTCATCAAACACATTTGCACAACCGATCTCTTTGCTATACAACCGATAGAATTCTTCGCAGAAGCCTCTCCAACCACGCGACTGCTAACCTGCTCACTTGGGTAACCTACCTATGGAAATCACTTCCCGATATCTTCCAATGCTACTGCATGGGATACAATCACTATGACATCAATGACCCATCCCGAGTCCGAGCTCACTCTCTAGCTGTACAAGTCCATTCATCCCTCGTGGACATCACCTAAATGTGCGGCAACAACCTTCCAATTCAAAGTTATGCCGCATCCTTCTTTCTTTTAGGCAGCTCCTTTTCGTTATATCAAATCTCCTGCCGCATAATAGCCCATACTTCAAATTAAATCCGTAGACCCCAATCATCAATCACTAACATTCTCAAATGACTCGAAACTCTCCTTAAGGCACGTGGTCATCCCACCGCAAAGCCCATATGCAACTCCGCCACTCTCCCACTTTGGCGGAACTCATCCCCTTAATCGATCACTCGACCCTTGGCCTCTTATACTCGCCCTGACACTTCCTCATGTCTTTCCTCATACTTTGTTGCTCAATTATTGCCTTAAATAAAATCTATCTTAGAATTGCCGATTCAATCCTGAACCACCGCACCCTGCGATATCTGACAGTCGTATCTCCGATACTATCTCCCAAAAGCTTGCCCCAAAGGCGAATTGTAGAGGATTATAACACCGACAAACTTAGTACATTCAATTAGGACAACAACACCCCATCATAGAAGAAAGCTCCACCACACTTGCGAATACCAAGTCTCATTACTTCCAACAGTCCACATCTGACCATCCTTAGTTCGACTACCTTTCTCCCCTGCCGGGAATAAAACACTGAATCTCTTGAATATGCCCCGAGTAAGCCTCCCTCCAAGTCATTCACCGCCCCGACACGTGGTCAACATCCTGCCATCATATCGCTACTGCAGAATTGTCATTAATAAGCATCATGGCAACTTGTGCCTAGCCCTAGAGCTCTCAGAAGTACCGCTACCAGGCTGAAACAATAAAATATCCTTCTACCAAACGACGATAATAATCCGATCGCCTATACCGGGAGAAATATCCCGTATCACATCTGTAGTACCATTACAGTTCTTCAATTCTCGATTTATAACAAGCGGTTGCGTCGCATAAGATTGAGTAGGAAGGAAACAAAGGCATAAGCCTTATAGGAATAAAATCGTACGATAAGGAATCAAGAAGGGAAGTACTGCTAATAGTTCTAAAGCCTTCCGAGGATAAGTACAGATGTCTCCGTAACGATCCACGAGACTCTACTAGACTGGCTCATGACTCGTGAGACCCTAGGAACCTAGTGCTCTGATACCATGTTGTCACGACCCAAAATCCACTAAGGGTCGTGATGGCGCTGGACACTGCCATCGGGCAAGCCAACCAAATTTCTTAATTAAATTCTCATTTTTAACCATCTTGAAAACTAAGATTTTCCTTCAATTTTTCATAAATAAAAAGATCACTACTTCAATTTAAATTAAATGATAAACAATTAGTACAAATCTTTCGGAAACCATCCCAGAACCCTGTGTCACAAGTGCATGAGCATCTACTAATAAAGAAATAAAATACATCACCCATCTGGAATACAATGGACGGGAAATATATATAATTCTGAAGGAGACTATACTAGCTGCGGGTCGCCTCAAAGGAATATAGCTCACCAAGTCTCCGGGTTAACCATGCCGCTATGCCGCTAAGCCACTAGCCACCCCTAAACATGTGCAACAAAAATGCACAGCAAGTGAAGTATGAGTACGAAAACAACGAGTACTCAGCAAGCATCCCGTCTAATCTCGAAGAAGTACATACGAGAGGTCGACTTCAATACTTACTAGAGGTCAAGTAATAATATACTAAAAGTGTGAGGAAATCAGGGATTATATATAGCAGTTCTAACTCACAAAGCCGGGAAACAGGCAAAACACCTTCGACAAATAATAAAGGATTTTCAAGGTTTACTTTTCATTATCTTATCAATTTATATCAAGCCAAAAAAGGCAAATTTTCACATTTAAAATTCTCTGGCGACAATATATCATGCGCAAATCATGCCGAGGTTGACAGCCCGCTCCAACAAAAATAAAATGTGCACTTGCTGAGGGTCGACGACGCGCCTATAGATGCATCTATTACCCCGCTCGCGAACTAACCTGCGACGCGGTCAACATAAAATAAACACACACTCTGCTCGCGAATCATGCATGCGACGCAGGTACACATAGAGACACATGCTCAAACAGTCAATCAAGAATTATCGGGGGACATTATCCAAATAAAACCAATTCTCTTTTAACAATTCGAGAAAGTAACGTTTAATCCCTTTTTAAATTCATTTACTGATCCAAGGTGATTTAAGCAATTCAAGCCATCAATAAGTTTACAATTAATCCAAGTATAGCATGCTTTTGGGTCCTAGACTACCCGGACAATAGCATAATAGTAGCTACGCACGGACTCTCGTCACCTCGTGTGTACGTAACCCCCACAATTAGGAGCAAATATCCAATTAATTCACCTATGGGGAAAGTTCCCTCTTACAAGGTTAGAAAGGAGACTCACCTCGCTCCGAAGATCCAAACCGGCTTTCCACGTCCTTTCAAAGACTCTAATTGATGCACCACGCTCCAAAACTAGCCAACGGCTACGCAAATCCATTAATATATGCTCAACTATTCATCACAATCTAATTTATAAAAATTCCTAAGCCCCATCGAAAAGTTAACCAAAACGCCCTTAGGCCCACATGCCCGGAATCCGAAATTTTTCGAAAATAAACTTTACCCATAAACTCACGAACTCAAATATATGATTTTCTCTAAATTCCATACCCAAAATCGTGGTCAAAATGCAAGAATATCGAATTTCTAGGTCTTCCCTCAAACCCCAAATTTTCCATAATTTCCTTGCATAAATCCATGTATAAACTTTGTATTTAACACAAAGCTAGCATAAATTACTTACCTCATGACGAGTGATGAAAATGGCACCTCAAAGTTGCTTCCTATCGGCTCCAATGGAAGAAAATGGGGTTGAAATGAACCCAACCCCGAATTTTAGAAGACCTCAATGCCTCAGCTATTTCCGCACCTGCGGTCCCTTGACCGCTTCTGTGGTTCCGCAGGTGCGGTTAAAATG